CCCCAAAACCCCAAAACCCCAAAACCCCAAAACCCCAAAACCCCTTTACATAGGATTGCAAATTATACATAAAAAATTATAAATAATCAAAACTTTGAGAGAACCTGCTTTATAAAATTAATACCATTAATGCAAAATAAGCAGCTTAGGATATTTGATTAACATTGGAAATACCCCTTTGACTTTAAGTCTGTCTCAGGAACTACATATGAATCCTATTAATGCGAAAATTGTGAATTCATTTCAGACATTAGTGTAAAGATGGTTGTTGACGTAGGTTGAATAATAAGTTAATGTATTGGAATTTCAGATGGAACATTAATTTCATTTCAATATAATAATGAACTAAATGAGTATAATCCTCATAAATTTTTGGATATCAAATACTGCTACATGAATGTCACATATTAGGAAGACTTCGATAAAAATATTACTAAATTTACGCTTTAATAAAGAAGCATAATTTATGAGTTTAAGCAAGAAGATTAGCAGATTCTTAAAGATTGGGTAAAAATTCTGAATAAGTATGTCATTCGAATAGATTAGCCAAGTAAATACATCATTACAAAAGCTTTGGGCAAAGGTTCATATGCCAATGTAAGCTTGGCTTATAAATGGAAAAAATAGGATAATGACACAGAGGTAAAACAGTTCTATGCTGTGAAGTCAATCTAGAAATCTATATTTGAAAATGGCTGATCTACGATTGAATAGATGAAGACTGAGATAGAGATACATAGAAAGCTTAATGTTTGCCTCAATGCCATTAAGCTATACAAAGTTTATGAAAGTAACTCTTAGTTTCATCTGATGATTGAGTATCAGGAAGGAGGAACATTGCTAGATCAGATTAAAAATTAGTTTAAATATGCTGAGATAGATATTAGAACAATAATTGCTTAAGTATTATTAGCTGTAGACTTTATGCATAAGCGGGGAGTAATTCATAGAGATCTTAAACTAGACAACATCCTCTTAAACACATCTGTCCCTGGTGTGTTTGATGTGAGAATTGCTGATTTTGGTCTTGCAGCTCAATTTAAGCCTGGTGAATTACTATTTTAAAAATGTGGTACTCCAACTTATATAGGGCCTGAAGTATTGAATGGAAGAGGTTACAATGAAAAAACAGATATCTTCAGTGTTGGCTCTATTATGTTTAATCTTGTTTCTGGAAAATACTTATTTTAAGGCAAAGATTAAGCAACGCTGTTGTAGCTAAATCATCAATGTGATTTAACACATGTCAATCAATATATTAAAACCATTAGCTAAGAAGGCCAAGACTTTTTGTTGAAATTAATGGCGAAAGATTTTTCTCTTAGACCTTCAGCTTAGGAAGCACTTTCACATCCTTGGTTTTAATAGGACAGGGCTGCACTTTTAGATGGTATTTTGATAAACAACTATCTCTGTGAAATTGAGTTAAAAAAGTTGACCTTAATAAACGACAGTTTAATTTTTAGGCTTTAACCTTTACCATCAGCAAAAAGGAATAAAAAAAAGAGTTCTGCATTGATAAGTCAATTTTCGGCCAATAATCTGAGTTCATTTTTTAAATAAAGTAATAAGTTTCAGTCAAACAGTAAAAATGATGATAGTTAAAGTCAAGTTAGTTACTATAAAATTATCTAGGGTCATAGAAATTCCAATTCAAACTCAAAGGGATCTATTCCTTCAAGAGCATTAAGTAACTATCAAAATGGTTATAATGAATCTCAAATGTTGGTCCCGAAGTTATAAAAGAGAAATAATAGTAATGAAGATAGTAATTAGCGAATGCAATAAAGATTACTAGATAAAAACAAATTGAGAAAAAGCAAATTTTCAAGAGATGGCAGGTCCAAAAATGCCAGTAGGTAAGCTAGAGGTGATGATGATGAGCCGATAATGGTGAATGTATCACTAGCCTCAGAATCTAATAAGAGTGGGAAGCTTTAGAAAAACAATCACCACAGACTTAGACTTTAGGAATCAGTAAAATCAAACAGTAACGATTGGAATGTTAGCGATATAGACGCTGATGAGTTGTTTGTAACCAAGAGGAATATCAGAGATACTTTTGAATGTCTCAGTAGTGACAGTAGATAGAACTAGGCAAGAAGCTTGAAATTCTTGGCAAATAAAAATGTGCCCTAGTTGCGGAGGATTCTCGTCGATAGTCTTAACAACCAATCTTTGTGAGTAATTCATAAGGGAGTATAGTAATGCTTTTCCAAACATAAATTATGATTTATGGTAATTGAACCTGATTTTAAATCACATTATATTTTTATATTTCATTCCAATACTCTACTTTTAGTTATCTTTGGGGTTTTGGGGTTTTGGGGTTTTGGGG